TTGGTCACATCTTCCTCTTTCTTCCCAGGACTTTCTATCCCCATCGAGATCAGCGGCATCATCGGTGTCCTTATCTTCATCCCGTTGATCTTTCTCTGTGTATGGGTGTATATAAGAATGAAGAAAACCGAAGGTTTGTGACTCTCTCTTCTTCTTCTTCTTCTTCTGTCTCATTTTTACACAAAATAAACTGCGATTGTGACGTGTCCAAAACTTTTGTCTCCACAGAGAGTTTTCTTCAGGCTCTCAAAGCCGTCCTCACCCCCCGTCCCCCCACTGTGCAGCAGGAGATGTTCAGACGTCGTCACAGAAACACAGACGGAATATTGCTCTTTTAACATCTTTTATTCATTAAACATAAATGTTTTATTCATTAAACATAAATATTATTTGTATTAAACATGTAGAAATATTTTTTGGTTAAATCACTCTTTGTTGAAACTCGTGTTCAATGTAAAGTTTGAACAAATGTTTCTTATGTTTTTCATATTTTCATTTCATCTCAAGGTTTAAATGTTCAACCTGTGAAAAAAGACAAAACCTCCTGCACCTGGTCTGGACTAAACCAGAACTAAACCAGGACTAAACCAGAACTAAACCAGAACTAAACCAGAACTAAACCAGGACTAAACCAGAACTAAACCAGGACTAAACCAGAACTAAACCAGAACTAAACCAGAACTAAACCAGAACTAAACCAGGACTAAACCAGGACTAAACCAGAACTAAACCAGGACTAAACCAGAACTAAACCAGGAACTAAAACCAGAACTAAACCAGGACTAAACCAGAACTAAACCAGGACTAAACCAGGACTAAACCAGAACTAAACCAGAACTAAACCAGAACTAAACCAGAACTAAACCAGGACTAAACCAGACTACCAGAACTGAAGTGTTTTAGTCTGGAGCAGGTTTGTTCTCGTGGTTCTTGTTTTTTAATTTTTTTGTTGAAGATTCTGAGCCTTTTTGTGTTTTTTTATGTTGAAGTATTTTTTTAATTAAAATTATTTTATAAAAATATAAATGCTGAACTATTTGCACTAGATCCTCGTCTCCTCTCCCTCGTCTTGTCTCCTTCCTTCCTTCCTTCCTTGTGTCTTGGTGTAAATAGTTTTGTTTTAATCTTGTTCTGATCTGAATTAATCTGCAATAAAACTGTTTTTTTTAAACCTTTGTGTTTCGTGTTTTTATGAATAAAACATAAAGATTATGGGAATAAACCCAGAACGTTCAGATTAAAACTGATTTTTAATGCATTTATATTATTATTATTATTATTATTATTATTAATAATAATAATAATAATATTATTATTATTAGGCCCGAGCGCCACAGGCTGGTGAAGGACATATTAGTATCATAAAGTGATGCTCCTAGTGGCCGAAACTCACCCATTTTTCACCGACTGAACTGTGACAAAAAGTCCTGGAAATTTTTCCATCTGGTAAAACTCGCGCTTCCCTACGTTTTGGCTATTTTCATTTTCCAAAAATAAATAAAATGGCTCATCAGCGCCACCAAACGACTCAAAAATGCATTAGGGAATACGAATGACACAAAAAAAAAAAACTTGCACGTACAATCATGAAATTTGACACAGAAGTCGATCATGTCAAGACAAGGAAAAAATATTATTACGCCAACACCGTGTGCTCCACTAGGGGGCAGCAATATTGGCTTAAAGTTTGCTCATCTTTTATGAATTATTACTTTGGCACATTAGCGCCCCCTATAGATTCAAACTAAATTTGAGAGAAAATCATTGTTCATCAGTTGTTCAAAAATTTCTGAAATTTTGCACAAAATTCCATTTTGGCATCCTGATCCAAAAGTCAATGACACCCATGTCATATTTTTTATGGCGTTGCCATAGCGATGACATAAACGCTCCATTTATAAAATCAGGACTAAACCAGGTCTAAACCAGGACTAAACCAGGACTAATCTTGACAGACGCTCGTTGGACGTGTGTGTGACTCTGTCGGTGTTAAACTGTCAGACTGGTTAAAGTGGATGTTCTAAAGCAGCGCGTCTGCTGCTCGTGTGCTGAGCTGCTGCATTTACACCGTTGCACTTTGGTGTGAATTGGGGGTGAGGTTAAGTTTGGGTTCGGGCTGGGACTATGGTTAGGATTAGAACTAGGGTTAGATTTAACATGAGGGTTATTAGCGTTAGTGCAGGGCGCAGCGTTCTGAGGGGTGCGGTGTTTGTGGGGCGTGGCTTATGTGGGGCGTGGCTTTTGTGGGGCACGACGTAGGCATGCACGAGGGCCGATCATTGCCGCTTGCGGCTATATTTATTATTATTATTTTATGATTAATTTATTATTATAAATTTAATTCATTTGAATAAACTCATCACAATGGTCAGTGATGGAGGATCTACTCAACTTTGTTACTTGAGTAAAAATACACAGACACACACACACAAACACTATACACACACTCTATACACACACAACACACACTATACACACACACACACACAGACACACACAACACACACTATACACACACACAACACACACACACACACACACAGACACACACAACACACACACACACACACACAACAACACACACAGACACACACACAGACACAGACACACACACAGACACACACACAGACACAGAACACACCACACAGACACAGAGAAATCTGTCCACAGGTGAAGAAAGGCCGTTTCACTCTGGGTTTGTGGAAACAATTTTATTTTATTAGACTTTTAAGATTTTTTTTTTTTTTTTTTTTGACAAAACTCAGAGAAAAGTTCCATGGGTTTGAAATTTTCTGTTCTGTTTTTGAGGAGAACACGACTTAAATCTCACAAGAGTCAGTTTTGTGTAACATAAAACCTTTAAAGATGCACTGTGTCACTTTTCTGATGGCAGATCCACTCCCTTCTTGTATCCATGGATATATTAGTGTTTTTTAACAGGTTCAATAGGTCAGATCTATGGAGAAGCGAGCTGCACACAGTAAGAATTCAGTTTTTAAAGTATTTTTGAGCCATAAAACACCTGTAATTGAACAAATCCAGTGGGAGATGTGTTTAATGCTCCACTGTGGAACATTCCAGGTACAGAAGTCACATCTCCATGGAGACGAGCAGCTGCGTTAAAAGTTCCACGTTACATCTTTAACTGAAAAACTCCAAAACCCAGACGACCGTCATGTGTGAAGTGTTTAAACCCCGACGATGTTTGTTTTGTTGTTTGTTTTGTTTGTTTGTTGTTTGTTTTGTTTGTTGTTTGTGTGTTTATTTTGTGTTTGTTTTGTTGTTTGTGTGTTTGTTTTTGTTTGTTTGTTTGTTTTGTTGTTTGTTTGTTTGTTTGTTGTTTGTGTGTTTATTTGTTTTTTGTTTTGTTGTTTGTTGTGTTGTTTGTTTTGTTGTTTGTTTTGTTTGTGTGTTTATTTGTTTGTTTGTTTGTTTTGTTTGTTTTGTTTTGTTTGTGTGTTTATTTGTGTGTTTTTGTGTTTGTTTTGTTTTTGTTGTTTTGTTGTTTTGTTGTTTGTTTTGTTGTTTGTGTGTTTATTTTGTGTGTTTGTTTTGTTGTTTGTTTGTTTTTGTTGTTTGTGTGTTTATTTATTTGTTTGTTTTGTTGTTTTTCAGCAGCCGCCCCACGTGAGCCGCGCCACATGATCCGTCTTCTGCCTCGTCGACTTGACGAAGCCGAGGAACTCGAGCTCGGACACGGCCTGGATGAACCGCGCCTGCTTCACCTCGTCCACTTTCCCGAACTCCTCCTCCTCGTCGTCGGGATCCGCCCCCTCCGCCGCCGCCTCCGCCGCCGCCGCCACCGTCCCGAACGCCTCCAGCCAGTCCACCAGGTTGATGAGGCGGCCGCACTCCAGGTGGAGCCTGTAGGCGATGCAGATGTCGGGGGCGGGTCGGGGGCGTGGTCGGGGGCGGGGTTTTGCGGGCGCAGGTAGAAGTCGGGGTCGGCGAGCGCGGCCTGGATGGAGGTGCGCGGCGCGGCGTTGAGGTGGCGCCTCACGGTGGAGGACGAGCGGTAGTACAGGACCTCGTGGAGCGGCTGGGACTCGGGCGGGGCCAGGTGAGCTCGGACCAGAGCGTCCAGCAGATCCACCGTTTCGTTTCGCAGGAGCTCGAAGGGGCTCAGCTTCTTGGTGCGTCGCGTTTCGTGCATTTCCAGTAAAGTTTTCTGCAGCTGGAACAGGTCGGTTTTCTTCTGCAGGTTTTTCAGCGGCGACGTGACGATCGACTCCGAGTCCTGACGAGAAGAAAAACAAAAAGAAAAAGAAAAACAAACGTCAGCATCGTTTAGAATCTGTGTCATGCATTCGTTTTTCAAAATAAAAACTAAAAGAAAACGAAAATTTTCTTGTATTTTCATTATTTGTCTCCAAAACCAAAATGAAAAAAATGAAAACCAGAACTGAACCAGGACTAAAACCAGGACTAAACCAGGTCTAAAACCAGAACTAAACCAGGTCTAAAACCAGAACTAAACCAGGTCTAAAACCAGAACTAAACTAGAACTAAACCAGGACTAAACCAGGACTAAAACCAAGCACTAAACCAAGGACTGAACAAGGACCAAATGCGGCCCAAACGAGAACTAAACCAGGACTGAGTTTGACCGGGGTCGAGACCGAAACTCAGTCCCAAACCCAGTCCGACACTGGGACCGAGCTCAGGACTGAGACTGAGATCGGGACTGAGACCCAGGACATGAATGAAACTGGTTTTTAGTCCCGGTTTTTAGTCTTTTTTCCCATTTTTCATTTAAACCCAAAATCAAAAACTGAAAAATCGAATCATTTTCTGTTTTTTTTCATTTTGGTTTTGGAGACAAATAATAAAATACTCGTTGTTGTTTTCGTTCTGTCTTGGTGTTTTTGGTGTGTTTTACCTGAGCAGGTGTGTGTCTTTACCTGAGCAGGTGTGTGTGTCTTTACCTGAGCAGGTGTGTGTCTTTTACCTGAGCAGGTGTGTGTGTCTTTTACCTGAGCAGGTGTGTGTGTCTTTTACCTGAGCAGGTGTGTGAGTTTTACCTGAGCAGGTGTGTGAGTTTTACCTGAACAGGTGTGTGTTTTTACCTGAACAGGTGTGTGTCTTTTACCTGAGCAGGTGTGAGTTTTACCTGAGCAGGTGTGTGAGTTTTACCTGAGCAGGTGTGTGTCTTTTACCTGAGCAGGTGTGAGTTTTACCTGAGCAGGTGTGTGTCTTTTACCTGAGCAGGTGTGTGTTTTACCTGAGCAGGTGTGTGTGTTTTACCTGAGCAGGTGTGTGTGTTTTACCTGAGCAGGTGTGTGAGTTTTACCTGAACAGGTGTGTGTTTTACCTGAACAGGTGTGTGTCTTTTACCTGAGCAGGTGTGAGTTTTACCTGAGCAGGTGTGTGAGTTTTACCTGAGCAGGTGTGTGTCTTTTACCTGAGCAGGTGTGTGAGTTTTACCTGAGCAGGTGTGTGTGTTTTACCTGAGCAGGTGTGTGAGTTTTACCTGAGCAGGTGTGTGAGTTTTACCTGAGCAGGTGTGTGAGTTTTACCTGAGCAGGTGTGTGTGTTTTACCTGAGCAGGTGTGTGAGTTTTACCTGAGCAGGTGTGTGTGTTTTACCTGAGCAGGTGTGTGTGTTTTACCTGAGCAGGTGTGTGTGTGTTTTACCTGAGCAGGTGTGTGTGTGTTTTACCTGAGCAGGTGTGTGAGTTTTACCTGAGCAGGTGTGTGTGTTTTACCTGAGCAGGTGTGTGTGTTTACCTGAGCAGGTGTGTGTGTGTTTTACCTGAGCAGGTGTGTGTGTGTTTTACCTGAGCAGGTGTGTGTGTGAGTTTTACCTGAGCAGGTGTGTGAGTTTTACCTGAACAGGTGTGTGTTTTTACCTGAGCAGGTGTGTGTCTTTTACCTGAGCAGGTGTGTGTCTTTTACCTGAGCAGGTGTGTGTGTTTTACCTGAGCAGGTGTGTGAGTTTTACCTGAGCAGGTGTGTGTGTTTTACCTGAGCAGGTGTGTGTGTTTTACCTGAGCAGGTGTGAGTTTTACCTGAACAGGTGTGTGTTTTTACCTGAGCAGGTGTGTGTGTTTTACCTGAACAGGTGTGAGTTTTACCTGAGCAGGTGTGTGTGTTTTACCTGAGCAGGTGTGTGTGTTTTACCTGAGCAGGTGTGTGTTTTACCTGAGCAGGTGTGTGTGTTTTACCTGAGCAGGTGTGTGAGTTTTACCTGAACAGGTGTGTGTTTTACCTGAGCAGGTGTGTGTTTTACCTGAGCAGGTGTGCTTCCTGTCGCGTTCAGGTCCAGATCTTTCATCCTGGAGAGCAGATCTTGGAGTTGGACTTTGGCTCGTTTCATCCTTTTGGACTTCTCTGGGTCCAGGACTTGGAGGCACCTCTGGACTCCGGCCTCCAGCTGGTCTCTGGAGAACATCCGGAGGAGCTTCAGGGCGACTCCGTACTCCTCTCCCTCCCACACTCTCCTCTCCAGACAGATCAGCAGAAGCTCCCGGATCTGCTTCCCCAACGGAAACCGAGGGAGCGTCGACGTGAGCGCGTGGAGACACCGAAGAACCGGGAAGAACGTCTTATGATACCTGTAAAAACATTTAACATCAGACCTTTAAAGACGCACTCTGGAACTTTTACTTCTGCTTTATCATTTTATGCTTTTAGACCCAGTTTAGACCCAGTTTTAGTTCTGGTTCAGACCCGGTTCAGAGCTGATTTAGTCCCGTTTTAGACACGGTTTGGTCCCAGTGTTAGTCCTGGTTTAGACCCGGTTTAGACCTGTTTTAGTTCTGTTTAGTCCTGATTTAGATGTGATTTAGTCCCGGTTTAGACCCAGTTTAGTTCCGGTTTAGACCCAGTTTGGACCCAGTTTAGTCCCGGTTTAGACCCGATTTAGACCTGATTTAGTCCCGGTTTAGACCCAGTTTAGACCCAGTTTAGACCCAGTTTAGACCCGATTTAGTCCTGCTTTAGACCCAGTTTAGACCTGGTTTAGTCCCGGTTTAGACCCAGTTTAGACCCAGTTTAGACCTGAGTTTAGTCCCAGTTTAGACCTGATTTAGTCCAGTTTAGACCTGATTTAGTCCCAGTTTAGACCTGATTTAGTCCCAGTTTAGACCTGATTTAGTCCCAGTTTAGACCTGATTTAGTCCTGGTTTAGACCCAGTTTAGACCCAGTTTAGACCCAGTTTAGACCTGATTTAGTCCTGATTTAGACCCGGTTTAGTCCTGATTTAGTCCCGGTTTAGACCTGATTTAGTCCCGGTTTAGACCTGATTTAGTCCCGGTTTAGACCTGATTTAGTCCCGGTTTAGACCTGATTTAGTCCGGTTTAGACCTGATTTAGTCCCGGTTTAGACCCGATTTAGTCCGGTTTAGACCCAGTTTAGACCTGATTTAGTCCTGGTTTAGTCCCGGTTTAGGCCCAGTTTAGACCTGGTTTAGTCCCGGTTTAGGCCCAGTTTAGACCTGTTTTAGTCCTGGTTTATGACCAGTGTTTTTGTTCTGATGATGTTTCATCAGTCGTGTTTCTTCTGCTGAAACATTTCATGTGTTTTATTCACACACATTCATGACCAGAGACACATGAGGCTTTATCAGATCTGTGGAGAGGCGAGCCGCTCACTAATGCTCCATTTTAAAAGTGTTTGAGAGTCAAACTGGTCCTGGATTCTCATCCGACATCGCGACAAACTTTGTGCGAAATGTGAGGAAGCGACAGTTTGAAAAAGTCTCTAAGAACCGCTGCATAAACCACGTAATCCCCGCGCGCCGACGAGTCAGTTACACTAGGGAATTTGATGGACGACCTAACAGCCAATAGAAAATGAGGGAGCCTCATTTTCTATTGGCTGATGTTTATCTGGCCTCACGACGTCCACAGTTGATAGATTTTCATTCTTTTTTTCCGTCATCATAATTACAAAGCTGCTGTGTCTCTGTTATGGTATTTTAAACTTCCATTCACAATTTGAAACAAAAAAAAAAAATCCTCCATACGACCTTTAAGTTTACGTCTTTCTTCCCTCGACAGTTGTGAATAAAAATATAAAACCTCGTTACCTGTGAAGAGATTTGATCATCTTTTTACATTCTTCTCTCAAAGCGTCGTCTCTCGTCGTCAGCTCGTCTCGTTCTTCGGCGCTCAGACTCTGGACGTGACTCCTGAACGACGGGAGCCGGCGAATCCGCTCCAGATCTTTCCTCTGCAGGTGTTCGACGAGATCCAGGGCGACGTTCTTGGGGCAGCAGAGGACGCTCAGCGGCTGCGAGTGGAAGTGCTCCAGCAGCGCCACCTGCAGGCCCTTGACGAAGTTCCGCACGGAGAAGTCGTGGTAGAGGAAGACGCTGACGAGGACCTGCAGGACTTTCCCGCTCAGCCTGAACGGGAACTTGGCGTCGAGGATGAACTTGTCGATGACGGTGGCGAGATGCTGCGTGCACGACAGCGAATGGAACAGCTCGATGCACAGAAGCGACGAGACGGAGTGCGGCAGCATGTTCTGGATCGTGCTCGGGGACGTCGCGATGCCGAAAATAAACACGAGGGGGAGCTGCGACACGTAGCGGCTGCAGATCAGGATGAAATCTTGCAGAACTTTCGGACTGAACGATTCTAAATCTTTGAAAATGACGACGACGGGAGGATTTGCGTCACGTCTTTCCGTAGCGTGATCTTTTTGTTTGTTTTTAGCCTTGTACCATTCGCAGAGTGTCCCGAAGGAGCACTGCACGCCTCTGCCCAGTTTCGGAGCGTCACTTTCTCCACCTTCTTCGTCGTCGTCGTCCAGAGCCACGCCGACGCCGTCCATGATGCGCTCCAGGACGCGTTTGAGCGCATGTTTCAGCGTGGCGCACTCCTTGGCGTGCAGGGAGGCGACGTGCGGCGTGACGGAGCGACGCAGAAGCTCCGACAGACTCTGGAACGTCGCGTCGTGGTCCGGGACGTTGACGCCGAGCATCAGCGCCGCCGTCGGGATCTCGCTGGCCCGAATCTGCGCGGTCCAGACGCACTGGGCATGCGCAGAGGGGGAAGATTTACGCGTGAAATCCAGAAGCGAGTCCAGGATGTTTCTGTGGAGCTCGTCCTGCAGTGACTCGGTGTCGCGGAGGATCTGGTCCCACAGGTCGCGGCAGAGTTTGTACCGCAGCGCGCCGCCCGCGTCTTTCTCTTCGCAGCCGCGCGTAAAATGCGTCTCGGTTCCGACGCGTTTCCGCTTTTTGGAGCTCGGTTTGAAGACGAAGCAGCCGCGGGACACGGACGAGGTGGACATGGTGCACGCAGGACGCCGCGCAGTGGGTTTAGTGCGGGTTTAGTGCGGGTTTAGTGCGGGTTTGACGCGGGTCTGAAAAGTCACGCCGGTCTGATTTTTACGCGCCAACTTTCGCTTCCCCCCGTGTGTGACGTCACGAGTTGCCAGATCATAAAGCAAAAAACAAGCCTCTGGTCGATCTACCTAATTCATCTCTTTATTTTTTTATTATTATTATTTTTATTTTTTTGAGGCTTTCCATCTTCACGTTTTACTGTTTATATCCAAGCACATGTCAGTGTTTGACAACATCATAACAGCAACAACAGGCAACTAAAACTTCAAATCAGTCAAATTATTACACAAACTGTGAGAAACATTACAGTGAAAATACCGATTTAATAACCACTGAATTTTCTATATTTCAATTACTTCCTTTTTTTTTTTTTTTTATACTCCCACATCACTAACCCCGCCCCCCCCAGGTCCTACATGCACAATACAGGTTATATATAAGTAACAATCTGCGTTGTTCTTCTTCTTCTTCTTCTTCTTTTTTTTTTTTTCCTTTATACCATTTGTACCAGTGGAAGCACAACAAATTAGAAATTTGCCTTGACACCCTCTTGAGAAGGATGTAGAGTTATAATGATTTTAGAGATTTTGTATATTTGATTAATTCATCTCTTTATTATTAAAGGTTGTAAAGAGGATTTTTTAAGGGAAGTGAAATACAGCGACCGTCCTTTTTCAAATGTTGTGACTCCACCTTCCTCAGTAGAAACACCTCCTCCTCCCGCCTCTTTAGTCTAGAAATCACGTTTGTTTTCATCCAGTGCGTGTTCAGAATCACTGTTGAAATGACCTGTGTAGAAATAATTTATCGACCGACGCGTCAGTTTTTAGACCCTTCGTCTGCTTCAGTCGCGCCGTCGCTGGACGAGATCTCCAAGAATCACCTCAGTTTGTCTTTGCTCCTTTTCCTCTTCTCTTCTTCTTTCAGCGACCTCAAAAACCGACTTTTTTTTGCGGCGAACCGGTCGTGGATTCTCGTCCGACATCGCGGCAAACTTTGTGTGAAATGCGAGGAAACTACAGTTTGAAAAAGTCTCTAAGAACCGCTGCATAAACCACGAAATCCCCGCACTCCGACGAGTCACTTACACTAGAAACATAGGGAGTTTGATTGACGACCCAACAGCCAATAGATAAAGAGGAAGCCTCGTTTTCTATTGGCTGATGTTTATTTGGCCTCAACACGTCCACAGTTGATAGATTTTCTTTTTTTTTTGTTTTTTTTTGGTCGTCATAATTACAAAGCTGCTGCGTCTCTGTAATGATATTTTAAACTTTCACTGACAATTTGAGACAAAACAAAAAAAATCCTCCACATGACCTTTAATGTCAAAGTATCATATCCACTCGTGTACATTTTCTGGTAAAAGTCCAATCGACAAAACTTTCTTTCTTTCAGTTAAATTTTCGGAGAAACAGAAAGCGTCGACGCTGTAGAAATCTGTACAACTTTGAATGTTTTTACTTGAACTCTGTGTGTGAAAGTCGAACGTTTCCCTTTTTCCTGTCCCCTTTTATTTCCCCTCCTTTCTTTTTTGTTACTTTACTTATTATTTATATAATTTGTAAATTTAGTTCGATGCAGTTCTTGAATTTAAAACTCTGCATTATGTGCACACTGCTTTATTTTTCAATTAAAAAAAAAGAAAAAAAAGAAAAAAAAAAGCCTCTGGTGTGTGATTTTAACGAGCGTCATCACATTTTCAAAATAAAAGGGACATTTAATTTAATTTAATTTTAAAGGGATAAGTCACTTTTTAAATCAACTTTTATGTGAAATCCGAGCTTCAAACGAGTAAATTTTCACTCTGTTTTCATTAACTCATGTTGTTTTGACTCTGTTTTATTGCACAAACTGAGCTTTAACTCGTTTTAACATGTTTTTTTTTTTTTTTATGTTTTATTTTATAACTTGAAGCCAAAACAAAACCAGAACAAAAGTGACAAACAGAATCTGTGGGTCGTTTTGTTTTTCAAAATAAAAACAAAAATAAGAAGAAAAAAAAAAAAAAAAAAACTTCATTATTTGTCTCCAAAACCAAAATGAGTCCTGTTTTAGACCTGTTTTAGTCCTTGTTTAGTCCTGGTTTAGTTCTAGTTTAGTCCTGGTTTTAGACCTTATTTAATTTCCAGCAATGAGTGGAATTACTGAAAAAAAATAAAATAATAATAAATAAATAAAAAATTATGTAAAAACAGTAAAATCCCTCTGTGTAATCCATTTATTTCAACAAAGTAACTGTAATCCAATTCCCACTCACTGAAACAGTAACTGTAACTGAATACAGTTACTCATCATTTGTACTTTGATTACTCTGGTACATGTAATCTGTTACTCCCCGACACTGGTGAATAATAAAGTGTAAAGTGTCTTTGAATGTTTTGAAAAGTGAAATATATATGATTAATAAAAAAATAATAATAAAAATAATTAAATTAATTGCATTTCTTTATAAAAAATAAAAAGTATATATGATTAATTTAAAAAAATATATATTAAATGAATTGTATTTCTTCATAAAAAATAAAAAGTATATATGATTAATAAAAAAATAAATAAAAATGATTAAATGAATTGTATTTCTTTATAAAAAATAAAAAGTATATGTGATTAATTAAAAAATAAATAAAAATGATTAAATGAATTGTATTTCTCATCGTTGTGACGCTGCTCGGACTGAAGAAGAGTTTATGTTCTGACTCAGCGAATGAAAAAGTGAAACCGACGAACAAAAACTATGATTTAAAAACTAAAATAAAACTTAAAATAAAAAACGACGCGCCGCGGACCTGGCAACCCCCGCGGTGACGTCATCAGTGCGCACCCAAAACACGGCTCCATGTGCGACGGACGCGGCGGCGGAGTTCGGCAAAAGTTTCTTTTTTTTACGGATTTTTTTTTTTTTTTTTTAGAATCAACAAAAGAAAAATAAAACACAAAGATTCAGGTTTAAATGTGGAGTTTATGAAGCAGCGCCGCGGGTTTTATCGAGCTGTTTTTATTTTACGACGAGATCAGAAGAAAAAAACACGGAAAAGATCCGAGTTTTAAACTTTAAAGTCCAAAAGAAGAAAAGGTGAGAGTCACACTTCACTTTAACCACAAAAACTACACAAAAACTGATGAAAACTGATGAAAACTGCTCAGCTGGAGGCACGAAGCTGATTTAACTGTTTAAAATTCAGATAAACGAGATAATTCACTTTTAAATCGACTTTTATGTGAAATCCGAGCTCCAAATCGAGTAAATTTTCACTCTGTTTTCATTAACTCTTGTAGTTTTGACTCTGTTTTATTGCACAAACTGAGCTTTAACTCGTTTTAACATGTTTTTTTTTATTTATTAATTTATTTTTTATTTTATAACTTGAAGCCAAAACAAAACCAGAACAAAAGTGACAAACAGAATCTGTGGGTCATTTTGTTTTTCAAAATAAAAACAAAAATAAGAAAAAACAAACAAAAAAAACTTCATTATTTGTCTCCAAAACCAAAAAGAGTCCAGGTTTAGTCCTGGTTTAGTCCGGTTTTAGTCCTGGTTCAGTTCTGTTTTCTGTTTTTCTTTCAGGATGTTTTTTTCTTTTTCTCGTCTGAGTAAATCTTAAACTTCGCTCTGAAGCGTCGCTCATGGATCCTGAAGCAGCCGACGACATTCCGGAGGACGGCGTTCCGGAGGACGGCGTTCCGGAGGACGGCGTTCCGGAGGACGGCGTTCCGGAGGACGGCGGCGTTCTGCCTGAAGTGGAGGACGGCGTTCCGGAGGAGGACGCTCTGAGCCAGGACCAGTGGGACCAGGCCCTGAGGACGCGCCGCGATCTGATTGGAGGAAACACTCCCAACTCCGCCTCCTCCTCTGTCAGCTCCTCCCCCTTCCTGTCGTCATGGTTTCGGCGGGAAAAAGGCGCCAACGACGACGACGAGGGGGACGAGGAGGAGACGCGGGTCACTGTCGTCACCGCCGAGGACGAGTCGACGAATCAGAGCAGAGACGCCGAGGACACCAGGGACAGAACGACCAATCAGAACGCAGAGTGTGATCGCCGAATCAAAACGAGCAGAACGGAGGAGTCGGCCAATCAGGAGGCAGGATCGGAAAAGGTGGAAGTGAGCGACGAACACGAGGAACTGACCGACCGAGACTTAAACAACTCCCGCGAACGGACTGACGCGTCCAAAACAGAAAGTGAAAGTGAAAGTGAAAGGACACTGACAGACGAGCGGGAACGGCCCAATCAGAGCGCGGGGAAGGACGAGGAGGGCGGGGACAGCAGCGAAGAAGAGGAAGAGGAAGTGATGTCACAGCAGAGCCAGGTCAGAGACAAGTGTCATTTTGTGTTTTTGTGTTTGTTTGTGTTTATTTTATTTGATTTTCTCCATTTTCTGTTGGAACCTGGACACATTTTCTTGTTCTTTCTTGTTGATGTACAAAGTCCTGGTTTAGTCCTGGTTTAGACCTGGTTTAGACCTGGTTTAGTCCTGGTTTAGACCTGGTTTAGTCCTGGTTTAGACCTGGTTTTAGACCTGGTTTAGTCCTGGTTTAGACCTGGTTTAGTTCTGGATTCTTGTGTAAATTGAGGTTGTGGGTTAAACGCTCCAGATCCAGACATTTAACAAAAACACAGATCTGTGACCAAACCTCTGGTCAGAGCTGATCTGGGGTCAGATCTGATCCCTATCCTGTCCTCTGTCCTCTGTCTCTGTCCTCTGTCCTCTATCCTCTATCCTCTGTCCTCTGTCCTCTCTGTATCCTCTATCCTCTGTCCTCTGTCCTCTATCCTTCTCTGTCCTCTGTCCTTCTCTGTCCTCTGTCCTTCCTATCCTTCTCTGTCCTCTGTCCTCTCTGTCCTCTGTCCTCTGTCCTTCTCTGTCCTCTGTCCTCTCTGTCCTCTGTCCTCTGTCTCTCTCTGTCCTCTGTCCTCTCTGTCCTCCTCTGTCCTCTGTCCTCCTCTGTCCTCCTCTGTCCTCCTCTGTCCTGTCCTCTGTCCTCTGTCCTCTATGTCCTGTCCTCCTCTGTCCTCTCTGTCCTCTGTCCTCCTCTGTTCTCCTCTGTCCTCTGTCCTCCTCTATCCTCTGTCCTCCTCTGTCCTCCTCTGTCCTCTGTCCTCCTCTATCCTCTATCCTCTGTCCTCTGTCCTCTGTCCTCTGTCCTCTATCCTCTGTCCTCTGTCCTCTGTCCTCCTCTGTCCTCTGTCCTCCTCTATCCTCTATCCTCTGTCCTCTGTCCTCTCTGTCCTCTGTCCTCTGTCCTCTGTCCTCTGTCCTCTGTCCTCTGTCCTCTGTCCTCTGTCCTATGTCCTCCTCTGTCCTCTGTCCTCCTCTATCCTCTGTCCTATCTGTCCTCCTCTGTCCTCTGTCCTCCTCTATCCTCTGTCCTCTCTGTCCTCTGTCCTCTGTCCTCTGTCCTCCTCTGTCCTCTGTCCTCCTCTGTCCTCCTCTGTCCTCCTCTGTCCTCTGTCCTCTGTCTGTCCTCCTCCTCTGTCCTCTGTCCTCTGTCCTCTGTCCTCCTCTGTCCTCTGTCCTCTGTCCTCTGTCCTCTGTCCTCTGTCCTCCTCTGTCCTCTGTCCTCTGTCCTCTGTCCTCTGTCCTCTGTCCTCTGTCAGATCAGGTCACTGATCTTTAATCTTCTGTATTTGCTCCAGAAAATCAGAATAAACAGATTAAACCCACAGATTATGAAGGACGAGAGGACGAGGGACGTCCCCCGAGTCCGACGTCCCCCGAGTCCGACGTCCCCCGAGTCCGACGTCCCCGAGTCCGACGTCCCCCGAGTCCGAGTCCGACGTCCCCGAGTCCGACGTCCCCGAGTCCGACGTCCCCCGAGTCCGACGTCCCCCGAGTCCGACGTCCCCCGAGTCCGACGTCCCCGAGTCCGACGTCCCCGAGTCCGACGTCCCCGATCCCCGAGTCCCCGAGTCCGACGTCCCCCGAGTCCGACGTCCCCGAGTCCGACGTCCCCGAGTCCGACGTCCCCCGAGTCCTCCCCCGACGTCCACGTCCCCGAGTCCGACGTCCCCCGAGTCCGACGTCCCCGAGTCCGACGTCCCCGAGTCCCCCCGAGTCCGACGTCCCCGAGTCCGACGTCCCCGAGTCCCCGACGACGTCCCGAGTCCGACGTCCCGACGTCCCCGAGTCCGACGTCCCCCGAGTCCCGACGTCCCCGAGTCCGACGTCCCGAGTCCCGATCCCGACGTCCCCCGACGTCCGACGTCCCCGAGTCCGACGTCCCCGAGTCCGACGTCCGAGTCCGTCCGAGTCCCCCGAGTCCGACGTCCCGAGTCCGAGTCGTCCCCCGAGTCCTACGTCCCCGAGTCCGACGTCCCCGAGTCCGACGTCCGAGTCCGTCGTCCCGAGTCCGACGTCCCCGAGTCCCGAGTCCGACGTCCCGAGTCCTACGTCCCCCGTCCAGTCACGCCCGAGTCCTACGTCCCCGAGTCCGACGTCCCCGAGTCCGACGTCACAGAGTCAAACATTTTTAACATTTGTTAAATTTAGTTGTGATAAAAACGTCTCCTGACATAAACATGATCTTCTTCTTCTTCTTCTTCTTCTTCTTCTTCTTCTTCTTCTTCTTCTTCTTCTTCTTCTCTGTTTCTTCCTCTTGACTCGACTCCTGGACTCTGCAGATCCTCATCACCTTCTGTTTTTACAACACAAAACAATAAACTGTTTGTCTTTAACTCCTCTAAACCAGGACTAAACCAGAACTAAACCAGGTCTAAACCAGGACTAAACCAGGACTAAACCAGAACTAAACCAGGTCTAAACCAGGACTAAACCAGGACTAAACCAGGTCTAAACCAGGACTAAACCAGGACTAAACCAGAACCAGGTAAAACCAGGTCTAAACCAGGACTAAACCAGGACTAAACCAGAAAACTAAACCAGGTCTAAACCAGGACTAAACCAGGACTAAACCAGGACTAAACCAGGACTAAACCAGGTCTAAACCAGGAAACTAAACCAGGTCTAAACCAGGTCTAAACCAGGACTAAACCAGGTCTAAACCAGGACTAAACCAGGACTCTAAACCAGGTCTAAACCAGGACTAAACCAGGTCTAAACCAGGACTAAACCAGGACTAAACCAGGAAACTAAACCAGGTCTAAACCAGGCTAAACCAGGACTAAACCAGGTCTAAACCAGGTCTACTAAACTAAACCAGGTCTAAACCAGGACTAAACCAGGACTCTAAACCAGGTCTAAACCAGGTCTAAACAGGTCTAAACCAGGTCTAAACCAGGACTAAACCAGGTCTAAACCAGGACTAAACCAGGACTAAACCAGGATTAAACCAGGTCTAAACCAGGTCTAAACCAGGACTAAACCAGGTCTAAACCAGGTCTAAACCAGGACTAAACCAGGACTAAACCAGGACTAAACCAGGTCTAAACCAGGTCTAAACCAGGTCTAAACCAGGACTAAACCAGGTCTAAACCAGGACTAAACCAGGACTAAACCAGGACTAAACTAAACTAAACCAGGACTAAACCAGGTCTAAAACCAGGATCTAAACCAGGTCTAAACCAGGTCTAAACCAGGACTAAAACCAGGGACTAAACCAGGATTAAACCAGGAACTAAACCAGGACTAAACCAGAAAAACCAGGTAAACCAGGTCTAAACCAGGTCTAAACCAGGTCTAAACCAGAACTAAACCAGTCTAAACCAGGTCTAAACCAGGTCTAACCAGAACTAAACCAGGAAACCAGGACTAACCAGGACTAAACCAGGTCTAAACCAGAACTAAACCAGGTAAAAACCAGGTCTAAAACCAGGTCTAAACCAGGTCTAAACCAGGACTAAACCAGGTCTAAACCAGGTCTAAACCAGGACTAAACCAGGACTAAACCAGACTAAACAAACAGGACTAAACCAGGACTAAACCAGACTAAACCAGGTCTAAAACCAGGACTAAACCAGGTCTAAACCAGGTAAACCAGAACTAAACCAGGTCTAAACCAGGTCTAAACCAGGACTAAACCAGGTCTAAACCAGGACTAAAACCAGGTCTAAACCAGGTCTAAACCAGGACTAAAACCAGGACTAAACCAGGACTAAACCAGGTCTAAAACCAGGTCTAAAACCAGGACTAAACCAGGACTAAACTAGGACTAAACCAGGTCTAAACCAGGTCTAAACCAGGTCTAAACCAGGACTAAACCAGGACTAAACTAGGACTAAACCAGGTCTAAACCAGGTCTAAACCAGGTCTAAACCAGGACTAAACCAGGACTAAACCTAGGACTAAACCAGGTCTAAACCAGGTCTAAACCAGGTCTAAACCAGGACTAAACCAGGTCTAAACCAGGACTAAACCAGTCACACTTCAGATGTTTCTCCTCTTTTCTTCTGCTCTTCAGTTTGGGGGAAACAGAAGGTCAAAGGTCAGAGGTCATCTCAGAGCCCGACCCCCCTGACCTCCTCGTGAATGTTCCGCACTGTGACTTTAAACAGCTCGACGTTACTTTTATTCTCGTACAGGTGGATTTAGAGTCAAACGTGTGTGTAAAACCAAACGGTGAGACTGAGCGGACTCGCCTCTCCACAGATCTGACTCAGGAGACTTCATTTCATCATTTGTGTTTTCTGTGATTTCACGACGACTGTTTGTTTACGTAGTGACGGTGTTTCCATGGCGACACGTCAGACTTTTGTGTTTGTGAGTTTGGAGTTTTTGGAGTTTGACCTCGAGAGAAAAACGACTTTGAGGTTTTGAGTTTTTGAGTTTCAGACTCTGAACTTCTGCTGCAACTTCAACAACGATCAGAACAAAGACCTCGTGTGGTCCTGGTTTAGTCCTGGTTTAGACCTGGTTTAGTCCTGGTTTAGTCCTGGTTTAGACCTGGTTTAGACCTGGTTTAGTCCTGGTTTAGAACCTTTTTAGACCTGGTTTAGTCCTGGTTTAGACCTGGTTTAGTCCTGGTTTAGACCTGGTTTAGTCCTGGTTTAGTCCTGGTTTAGTCCTGGTTTAGTCCTGTTTAGACCTGGTTTAGTCCTGGTTTAGACCTGGTTTAGTCCTGGTTTAGTCCTGGTTTAGTCCTGGTTTAGTCTGGTTTAGTCTGTTTAGACCTGGTTTAGTCCTGGTTTTAGTCCTGGTTTAGTCCTGGTTTAGACACTGGTTTAGTCCTGTTTAGACTCGTTTAGACCTGTTTAGTCCTGGTTTAGTCCTGGTTTAGACCTGGTTTAGTCCTGGTTTAGACCTGGTTTAGTCCTGGTTTAGTCCTGGTTTTAGACCTGGTTTAGACCTGTTTAGACCTGGTTTCCTAGTCCTGGTTTAGTTCCTGGTTTAGACCTGGTTTAGACCTGGTTAGT